CGAGATGGGAGCCTTATAATCTCTGAGATTTCAGAAATCCTTCTAATCTCTGACTCCTGAATAGCTGGAATTACACTGCATCCACATCTATTTGTGCTAATCACTGCATCCACATCTATTTGTGCTAATTTCTAACATGTTTAAGACTACAAATTTTCCTCTAGTTACTGTGTAGCTGAATCCAGAATTTTGATACATTTTGTTTCATCTTTCCTGTACTCAAGATATTTTCTAAGTTCCCTCATAATTTCTTTTTAGGCCTTTGAAGTATTTAGGAATGTGTTATCCAAACATTTGGGAGTCTGCCAATGTTTTTTGCTGTTCTTCATTTCTAATTGAATTCAATTGTGATCGAAGAATATGCTTTAACTAGTTTCATATTTTTTAGGTTCAGGACTCATGTAGTGCAGAACTTGCCTAGTAAGCCAAAGGTTCTTAGTTCAACCTTAAGTACTACCGAAAAACAAATTTTAAAAATCTGGGAAATTCCTTTCAAATCTATTGAGAATTGTTTTATGATTTAGCATATGGTCTGCTCTGGAGAACATTCTGTGTACATTTAAAAAATGTGTATTCTGTTGTCAAGTAGGTCAACTAGTTACTGTTTATTTCAATTTTCATTTCTATCAATTTATGCTTCATGTACTTAGAAGATCCATTATTAGTTACATTTGTATGCTTTAACAGGCTTATACCCTTCTGGCTAGGCTGTCCTTCTGTTAACATGAATTATCCTCCTTTCTCTTTAATAATATCTGTAACCTTGTCTTTAACATTAGTACAACCACTCAAGTTCTCTTAGGGTTTTTTATGACGTGGCTTTTCTAATCCATGAAATTCAGCACAGTTGTTATTTATGACTCTAGAGTGTGCTTGACTCATAAACAACACAATCAGAATTTGCTTTCTATCCAGGCTGACAATTTCTATGATCATTTAATGCAAGAGCTGACCTAGCTGAATTTCATGAGCTATTTTGCTATTTGTTTTCTGCATATCTCCCAGTTTTTTGGTTCCTTTGTTCCTCTGTTACTGCTTTATTTTTATTAAGCAAAATCTCTTTAGTAAACATTTAGTAAACATTAAGTCCTTTTGTTGGGATTTTGGGGGCTATTGTTCACAAGTTATTTCCTCAAAGGCTGCTTTAGGGACAAGAATAAGCATCTTTAATTTATGAACATAAATTTAATGCCAATAAAATCAGCTTTGCTACAACATAGTTCAAATCCCTTCCCATATATTTACAAATGCATACATGGTATACACATACAATCTTTCATATTCAGCACAAACCCTTTCAGTTTTCTTCACTCCTTCCTGTCTATTCTAGTTATATGAGGCCATCTCCTTTTATCTTGACTTTGTCCAGTGGTCTGGTAGTAAAGAATTCTTGTAAGTTTTCTTTGTCTGAAATGTCTTGGGACTAAAGTCATGGCTCAAATGGTAGAGCACCAGCCATGAGCTAAAAGGCAGAATGAGAGCAAGAAACCTTGAGTTCAAGTTCCCAATATGTTAAGACTAATTTCATAAGTCCCAAAGTGACAATTTTGTCTAATTTGGTGCTTGCATTGTATGCAGAAAATTTATAGACCACTATAATCAGAACAAAGAACCACATGCTCAAGATACTTAGCTTTTAATGAAAACATAACCTCCTCCCAAATCTCTCATTTTAGAATAATGTTTGCCAAGCAATGGTGGCTCATGCCTGTAATCCTAGCTCTTTAAGATGCTAAGATCTAAAGATCATAGTCCAAGCCAGCCAAGACAGAAAAGTCCATGAGACACTTACTCTGACTAAACAGCAAAATACTGGCAGCAGAGGCAAAGCTCAACTAATAGAATGGCAACCTTGAGTGAAAAGCCAAGTGAGAACTCAGGGCCCTGAGTTCAAGAAAAGCCAAATGAGAGCTTGAGGACCCCAGTGCTGCCCTAATATATACATACATATATATCCGTTCTCCGACTGAAAGCAGACTGAATATGGCTCAGGCAACATGAAATCAGGACGGTAGTCAAGTGCCAGTGGCTCAAGACTGTAATCCTACTCAGGAATCTGAGAGCTGAGGATCATGGTTCAAAGCCAGCCCAGACAGGAAGATCCATGAGACTATAAACTCCAGTTAAACACCAAAAATCGGGAAATGGAGCTGTGGCTTAAGTGGCAGACGACTAACCTTTAGCACAAAAGCTCAGGGAAAACATCTATTCCCTGAGTTCAAGCCCTGGGACCTGAACACATACACACACACACACAAAACACACACACACACACACACAGAAATTAAGACTCTTTACAAATAATCTAACTCTAATTCATCAGGAATCTTAAGATTCTTATCTCTTTACCTCATATTTCTTCCTTAATATAAACAAATACACTGTTTGGTTTCATGTTCAAACATTACAAATGGAAAGTATTGTTCAAATGATATCAGACTTTCTAAAAAAGGCTTAAGAACTGGAAGACACTGCAAAGTCAGTTGGGGAGGATAAGTTTTAAACATATTTTGTAATTTTGGAAAGGTTTTTAATTTATTACGTGAATTAAAGAATACAGAGTTTTAAAGTACAGTAAGCAATACACAATTTTTAAACATTTTTTGAATTATCATCAAAGGATTTTTGCTTAGGGATTAGGTTATTTTCCCTCTTTCTTCTATTCTTATCACTTTATTTGCTAATGCATTTTTCCTTATGAGGAAAGAGTTGCTATAAAAATCCAAGACATGTCAAACTAACTTTAATAAATTACATCCTTTAGACATGAACAGTTTTAATTACCTTCCCTTTTCATGAGTGAGACATCCTGAGATAGAACAAGGAGCAACAGAAAATAACCTGCGTTTTTTAGGTTGCTGTAACATAACATACTGGCTTAAAATGTGTGTAAGTTCTCTCAAGATCTTAAAAGACAGAAAAGTGCCTGCTGACTGATGCAAGAAAGGTTTCTCATCAATTTCTCTCTTTCTCCCTCTCCCTTCCGCCCTCCCTCCCCCCTCTCTCTTTTCCTCCTCTTTATTTCCCTCCCTTCCTTCCTAGTTTCCTTCCCTCCTTCCTTTTTTGTGGCAGTATTAGAGCTTGAACTCAGGTTCTCAAGCTCTCACTTGGCTTTTCTGCACAAGGCTGGTGCTCTACCCTTTGAGCCATATCTCCAATTGGAGATGAGAGGCTCATGGACTTTCCTGCCAGTGATAGCTTCATACAAGGATCCTCAGATCTCAGTCTCCTGCACAGCTAGAATTCTTTTTCTTTATAAAAGGTCTATTTTTATCCTCCCTTACCTCTAGGTTTAAAGGACCAAGACATGGATATTGTCTTTCTGGACAATGCACATACTTTTTTGCCTTGTTCAGAATGCTTTCTACAGTGCTATTTCTGTCATGCTGAGTTTTCTCTATTGCTATGCTAGCAATAAGTTACTAAGCAAAGCATGACACTATTTTTTTCAATGTAAGGTGGATCATTTAAATATATATGTGTTTACATCAAAATGTCAAAAAGCTTTGAATTTCTTGAAGGGATCCATTAGATGGATGCAGATCTACAGATATTTTTAGTTTTTGTATAATATACAATCATTCTTAGAAAAATGCATCCACTGGATAGGATCTTCCCTGTCTCTTCCCTCTTCCTCTTTTCCCCTCTTTCTCCCTGTTCTCTCTCACACACAGTCTCTCTCTCACACAGTCTCTCTCTCTCACACAGTCTCTCTCTCTCACAGTCTCTCTCTCTCTCACAGTCTCTCTCTCTCACAGTCTCTCTCTCTCTCTGTCTCTCTCTCCCTCACTCTCTCCCTCTCTCTGCCTCTCTCTGTGTCTCTCTCAGAAGTACTTGGGTTTGAACTCAAGACCTTGTGCTTGGTAGGCTTACTTGCTTGCCTGGCATTCTACCACTTCAACCACACCTCTAAGTCAATTTTTGCTTGTTACTTTGGAGATAAAGATTCATGAACTTTTCTGCCTGAGCCGGCTTTGAATTTGATCCTTTAGATCCTAGACTCTGGAGTAGTTAGGATGATAGGAGCTACCAATGCCTGATTGATAGATTCTTAAAGTACTACCGAAAATGTTTCAGAAGAATTCTTTTCTCCTATTCCAAAATACATTTAGTGAAGCTATGGGCACTAACCAAACCTGAAAAAAAAATATGATTTCCTCTGTATCCCGTAAAATATAATGAGATATCGTATTGAAATGTTAATAGATTTTAGCCAGCGAGTTTAGGGAGAAAGCCCAAAAAACATAATCAAAACCAAAATAAAACAACAAAACTCACAGCCAGAGGGATAGTCCAAAAACTGAGGACAGTATAGAATTCCACATACTTGTCGGATGTTAGGTCAGCCATATAGTCCTGGGTAGCAACCAATCATTTTTAGATGTTGATTTTCTTTCTTTTTGGTTGGTCATGGGACTTGAACTCAGGGCCTGGGCACTACCCCTGAGCTCTTTTACTCAAGGCTATCATTCTACTATGAGCTACAGAACCACTTCTGGTTTTCTGGTGGTTAATTGGAGATAAGAGTCTCAAGACTTTCCTGCCTCGGCTGGCTTTGAACTGCAATCCTCAGATCTCAGCCTCATGAGTAGCTAGGCATAAGCTGTTGGCACTCAGCAAACAGCATCAATTTTTAATTGAAAAGAATACATTCCCTGGTCCTACAGGCAAGGGCGCTGGTCCAACACCATTATTTTCTCTTTTTTGTTTTATTTTTATTTTTACATCTTCTTCTTCTTATTATCTTTAAGTAGTTGTACAAAGAGGTTCCCATTCTACAAAACAGTCTATGAGTACAAGGTGTCTGACAACACTGCTCCTAAATGTTCTGTCTTCCACCTTCATGATGGACACAGAGGCTCCAAAGGCTGTTAAGAATGTCCCCCTGGGGCCTGCCAACATAGTTCCTAAGATTATCTCCATAACAGGAGAAGGAAGGCAGACCCCCTAAGTGAGAGTGAAATTGCATCCCCTGCGGGCAGGAAAGGAAGTGCTCTCACCTGGTGGAAAAGTGGGCTGTGAGTCACAGGGATGCCCAGCCCACTGAAGCACATGCCCAGGACCATGTCGTCAGGAGCATCATTGCTGTAGCACCGACACTTGCTGGCGAGGAGTCTCCTGATGGCTTCTCTGCTGAAGACCATGCTGGCGGGGCAAGAATAGACAGAGAGAGAGCTGAGCACAGCTCCACCGGACTCACTAATACAACAAGATCAGGGGTTCTGAGGTCACCACGCTGCAAAAGGTGGAAACCACTGGAAATGGAGATATGGTTCAAGAAGTAAAGCACTAGCCTTGACTGGGGAAGGAGGAAGTTAAGAAAGAGTACATGCCCTGACTTTAAACCTCAGTACTGGCACAAGTGGGGGAAAAAAGAAAAACAAAGGGAGGGACACATACTTACCTTAGCTAGGATTATAGGTGTGAGTCACCAAAACTGGGCTTTTGATTGTCTTTCTTGTTGATGCTTATAAGGCTTGAACTCAGGGTATGAGCACTGTCCTTAAGGTAGTTTGCTCAAGGCTAGCACTCTACCATCTTGTGCCATAGTTCCATTAGGGGTTTTTAGGTGGTTAATTGGAGATACGAGTCTTACAGATTTTTCCTTCCCCAAGCTGGCTTTGAACAGAGATCCTCAGGTCCTCCTAAGTAGCTAGGATTATAGGCATGAGCTACCAGCACCAACTTGTCTTTTTTTTTATTACAGCTTAGGATTTTTATTAAAACAATCACTTAAAGCCAGATGCTGAAGGTTCATGCCCATAATCCTAGCTATTCAGGAGGTAGCTACTGATATCTGAGGATCATGGTTCAAAGCCAGGCTGGGAAGGAAATGATGAGATTCTTACCTCTAGTTAACAACCCAAAAGCCAGATGTGGAACTGTGACATCAGTAGACATCTATTTAGTAGTTAACTTTAGAGATTGTGTACTTTTTATGGCTGCAAAACCAGACGCATCTCCTATCAACTGTTACCATAGAATGTCCTTGTTCCAGTAAGACACTGGGAGTATTAATTTCTGCAACCATTCCTATCAGATAGATGAGCTCAGAAATGTTATGTACAGTACCTCATTCACATATATCATGATGAGAAGAGATCAAATCTTGTTGAAGAAACCATCCACTGTCCTAGTGACTGAACTCTATACAAGCTAAGTGACTTGGAGAGAAGGTCAGAGACAGAGACAGAGAGAAGAGAGACAGAAGGGAAAAGGAGACAGACATAGGAGAGCTATTTTTATTATGACCTGGTACAGGAGTACTTTCTGGTAGAACTCCAGCCCATTCTAGATTCTCCAAACTCTCCTCAGGGCCAAAGAAAGGTAAAATCTTTAAGACACTGTTTCCCAATCTCCTTTGCCAGCTGAATCCAGCTGGCTTCATCTAGGGGACTGGAACTGGAAGAGACTATCAGCTGCTAGCCCTGGCAGTCTCTGCTGCAGTGATCATAAGGAGGGCAGTCGCACCCTCAGGCAAAGTGTCCCAGGTATCAGTTCCCAGCCTTCTGCCTTGTGACTGGCAGCCAAAGCAATGCAGCACTAATAGGACCAAAAAACAAAAACAAAACAAAATGCTTTCTCTGCCCTTCCAGTCCTGGGGCAATAGTCTCTCTATAGGCAATGATTTCCAAGAAAAAGCACTGGCTCTGCTTTAGTTCTTTTGTCCTTACACTTGCATACCAAGTTCTCATATTAAATTATCTTCTTTTTAAAATAGAGGTTGGTTTCTGGTTTGCATTCTAGTCCTCTGATAAATCTTTTCAAATCATATATAGCTCAAAAGCTGACATCAACTGAAGGGACTAATATGTTTCACAAGTGTATTCTCAACCATCAAAGATTTCTCCAAGAAAAAAAAATCCATCTGAATATATATATTTCCAGATCCTTGTATGCAGTTTTAAAAAAAAGCTCAATATATCTAACAAGTAAGAGCAGAGCTGCTGATGCAAAGATTTTTACTGAGAGAGGAAACTCTAGGGATGACTCCAGAGGAAAAAGCAATAAGGATGAGCAGTATGAATGCCAAGGATAAAATCCCCAATTCAAAGTAGTGATGGCTTGCTCAGTTCCATACTTGGGGATGCAACATTGTAGAGGACTTACTCCCTGCTCTTGGTAAGACACGAGGTAAAGAGAAAAAGAACTCTTCATTTAAGATGACGTAAGGAAATGCAATTGTGCAGAAGGAAAAACAGTTCCTGTGGATTATTGAAAAAAAACATTCAAGTCTGAAAAAAACCCATGGAATTGAGTTTCTCTTACTGTCCACCATGGAGACCTTTTGCTGGGCCATGAACTGTCAGGGATCCACTAAAGAGTGGTTCTTCATCTCTATCCAAGTACTTTTAAGAACTGGATACCACAGACATCAATCAGTGATGTAAAACTGAAATGGCCAGGCTTGGGATACATGGTCAGTCACATATTCACTGTACCCTGAAAAACAAAGAGTCCCTCATTCTAGAAAACGGTGGGAAAACACACAGGTGCTGCTTGCACATAATTCATCACTGAAGTGGAAAATAGGAAAGCATATAGGCAATTAAATGATAATGGTTTGCATAATCTGCCATGGAAGTACATTAGGAAGACATTCAACCTGTACTGGGGGAGTGGGGAGGAGGTACAGGCCGGCTGCTGGCTTCCAGGAGTAAACAAACCATAGTTACATGTATTCCATGAGAAAGAAGGAGGGATGAGACGGACAGAAGGCTGGGATGGGGGAATCAGTGCTTTGTAGAGACCAACAGATGACACTATCTGTAAGAAGAGAGGGGACTATCTGTAAGAAGAGAGGGGAAACTGTAACCAAGAAACTGCAGCAAGTTCCACATGAATATGATGGTTGAGAAAAGACCTGATGGCGGAGATGGTCAGGAGATGGAATAGGCAGGATTAGCAATTCAGCTGATACCAAGAGAGGGAGCAGTTGATGGCACAGAGGGACAGGAAGTCACATACCAAATTCTTCCCTGAGAGGAGGATGCAGGAAAACTAATGTCAGAAATCACTGGTTTGGTTTGGGAGGTGGTGTGTCTGTCAATCATGTGAGTGGAGGGTTCTTTGGTAGGTTGTCTATGAATCAGGAGGTTCTGCATGGAACCATGGAGAAAGAAAAAAAATTACCAGAGTGGTAGGGTATGGTTCAAGTGAGGAGCGTTTGCCTAGCAAAGACAAACACAGACATGTAAGCAATAGGAAGAAGTAGCAAGTATGAGCAGAAAGACAGGCATAAAGATGCACAGGGTAGGAGAGTGCTCTGGAAATCAAGAGAAAGGACTATTTCAAGTTAACAGTGAGCTTCAACAAAGGAGCCTGTGTCCAATAGGAATCCCAAGTGTGGAGTTGAGAAAAAGGAGATGGTGAACAAGAACACCTGAGATGTTATAGGGGAGATGTGTGGCACAAGGAGGGGCTGTGACTGCTGGGCATACTCAGTGTCGGCACATACAAGGCTAGCACACAACCACCTGGAGCCAGGGAAGGCAATCCGGGCCAGGAAAAAGCAAGCAAGGCTTCAGGTCTCACATGCCTGTCTGACAAAAAGCAAAATGCCATAAGCAAGCAAGATGCTAAAAATCGCTTTCTAGCAGAAATCACACCAAAGTGTAAGAATAACTTTGCTGAAAGTATATGAGCCAGTTGTTAGTGACTCATGCCTGAAATCCTAGCTATTCAGGAGTCTGAGATCTGAGGATCACGGTTCAAAGGCATTCTAGGCATTTTTGAGACTCATTTCTAATTTCCCACCACAAAGAATTGGAACTGTCTCAAGTGGTGGAGCACCAACCTTGAGCAAAAAAGCCAAGGAACAGTACCCAGGTAACAACGTGCACACACAGACACACACACACACACACACACACACACACACACACACGTATGAAGATCATTGTGCATCATTGTGCTATAATTATATAAAGCCATTCACAATGAGGGCCCTTTTTTTTTTTTAACACAATTGTTAAACCATTTTTTCTTCTTTTTTTTTTTTAAATTGTGAAAATACCGTACAGAGGGGTTACAATTACATGGGCCCTTCTAACAACAGAAAGTCTTGACTCAATGGATATTAAATTCAACAACTCACCCCAAAAGCTAGTTAATGTATCAGTATAAGGCTGCAAATAGCTTGAATCCCTTTTGAAATGAAGAGGTCAATACCCTTTAGAGAATGGGCCTTTAGAGAATCCTCCCTCCCCTTTATCTCCGGCTGGTGACAGCTAAGCAGACTCAGCTTGATTATCACTATAAGCCACCACCTGGACCAAACAGGAATTACCTGTAACATGACCCTGGAGGTCTTTCAGAAGGAACCTTTTAAATAAGTTTGTGTGGATTTAGTCCTCCCAAGGTTGTGTGACCTTTAAGAAGGTCATTGGAATTATCAACTTAAAAGGGATCACTGGTTAATTTCCATGTGAATAAAAAGTGAATAAAATAAGTGCCTGGCACTTGAATCTCTTTTGCTTTCTCTCTCGATGTGTGATTTCTCCTTCTTGCACACAATCCTTCCATGATGCCATCTGCCAAGTTGTGACATAACCAGAAGGCTGCAACCAGGGCTAAGTAGATACCAGTGCCATCCTTTTGGATTATAAACTAAATAAACTTCTCTGATTGATGTTTCCCAGACGCAGGTATTTTGTTATAGCAATGGAAAAAAAATGGCCCAAGATAAAACTCTTCTAACCTAGGGGATTGTAAAGTAGAAACATAAAGCTCTAGACTTTCAGAAGTTAATAATACTGGATATAGTTCTGCCTGGTATGTATTATACATGGAAAAAACATCTGTTGAGTAAATCTGAATGAATATAGTGGATAACAAGTTATCACTTAAAATAATTTTTCTAAGTCTTTCCATTTCCTTACAAATGGGCAATATCATTCTTTCTGATGAAAACATAGAATTCCATTGTGTATATTTACATTTTCTTGATCCATTCATCTACTGAGGGATATCTGAGTTGATTCCACATATTAGCTATGGTAAATAATGCTGCTGGTTGTGCTGGTAGCTTTAGTGTGGCCTTGTTTGTAGTCATTTCGATAAATCCCCAGGAGTGGAATTACTGGGTCATATGGAAGCTCTATGTTTAGTCTTTTGAGAAACCTCCGTACTGCTTTCCCAAGTGGTTGAACAAGCTTACATTCCCACCAACAGTGTAGTAGCATTCCCTTTTGGCTATATCACGACTGGTATCTGTTATTATTAAGTTGTTACTTTGTGGATTTGTTTGGGGGAGTTTTAACTTTTTGAGCTCTAAGTATATTTTAGATATGAAGCCCTTCTCTGATGTATAGCTAGGAAAGATCTTCTACCAATCTGTGGGCTTTCTACTTATCATGCTATCTATGTTTTTGCCATGCAGAAACTTTGCAGTTTAATGCAATCCCATTTATCCAGCCTTTCTTTGATTTGCTGATTCTAGATCTTTACTTAGGAAATTCCAAGCTGTGCCAGAGAACCTAGTATTTCCCTTACCCCTTCCTGAAGTATTTTCAGCATATCTGGTCTTACATTGAGGTCTTTGATCCATTTGGAATCTAGACCCAAAGAAACAGGCTGCACGGTTTCTCTCACCTGTAATAGCTAGAGTATGTCTAGGCCATATTCTTAGCAGCAGATCATAATGGCTCAATAGCAATGTGGACATGACCATATAAAATGATGCTCATCAAAATGAACTCCAAGAAATGGAAGCAAGAGGTTATTTTTTTTATTGTACTTTTTGCAGTTATTTCCTTTTTCTTTTCTCTTTTTTTCCCTTTTCATTTATTCCCTGTTATCACTGTTTTTTTATTTCTGTACCCTTTGTCTTGTATATAAGTTTACCTGATTTGGGGTAGGGAAGGGGAAGCATAGACACAGTGTGACAAGGGTGAACGAAGCAACAGTGACACTAGACGCTGGTGGGTGAACTTTACAACTTGGAGGGGAGGAAAGCCAGGGGGGAGGAAAGCCAGGGGGGAGGTAAGATATAATGAGGGAGGGGGTAACACTGTTCAAAAGCAAATGTACTAATTATCTTACTTTTGTAACTGTAAACCTTCTGTACATTTCAATAATATTTTTTAAAAAGTTATCATTCTCCTACAGCAAAGTCTATAGCAATAATGGAAAAGCCTAGCTGCTCAATTGATTTTATCCATAAAAACCAAATTAAAACCATTTCCCATAAGGGATGAGGTAGATGCTTCATTTTAAAAGATTGATTTTTAACTGTTATTTAAAACCTATAAATCCTACCCAATTACTATTTAATTGCCTACATCTAAGCTTCCATACTATTCTTTTCCCAAATGATAGTTATTGAGCACTGTACATTTTTAAATGTCCAATAGCTTATTTACTGAAATAAACTCTATAAACATTTCTTTGTTTTGTTTTTTACTTAGAAGACAATCAAAACTAAAGCTATACTGATGTTATTCACAGATCACTAGGGCTGGCAGACAGCACACCTTGGTGTTGTATATTGTATGATACTTCCTCATCTTAGGGATCTCTCTCCTCTCTCCTCTTCTCCTCCCCCCCTTTCTCTCCTCCTCTTTCCCCTCTCTCTACTCTTTCTCTCTTCTCACTCTGTCACTTTGTCACTCTGTCTCCCTTCCCCAAACCCCTCTCTTTTACAGAATTGCAGAGGCTAATAATTGGTGATAGTGGCTAAATGCCCCTCGCTGACAGTGCTGAAGGCCACTAGGCCTCGATGGTGATTTCGGCTCTTATGTTGCTCTGGGATCAAGCCAGCCTTGTGAGCTTCCAGGGACAGCCATCCATTCTCAGAGATGTTAAGTAGCACTTTTTCTCTGTGGCATCTGTATCATATCTCCTGACAGGGACAGAATATGAAGGCTGTTTTCTTTTCATGGGATTGCTGTACTTTAAGAGACTTTTCTTATTTTTCGCATGGCAACACTAGGGCTTGAACTCAGGGCTTGGGTGTTATCTTTTAGCAAGCTCAAGGTTGACTATCACGTGCACCACGTCTCTACTTCTGACTTCTTACTGGTTAATTGGAGATAAGAGTCTTATGGACTTTTTCTGTCTGGGCTGGCTTTGAACTGTGATCCACAGATCTCAGCCTCTTGAGTAGCTAGGATTACAAATGTGAGTCTCTGGCATCCTGCTTTAAGCGATTATTTTAATAAAAATCTTAAGCTATAATTTTAAAAAAAAAAGGGCAATCAAAAGCCTGGCATTGGGGCTCAAACTTCATACCTGTAAGTCTAGCTATTCAGAAGGTTGAGACCTAGAGGATTACAGTTTGAAGCCAGCCCAGACAGCAAAGTCAGTAAAACTCCATTTCCAATTAAATAGCAAAAAGCTGGACTCGTGCCCAGCTCAAGTGGTAGAGTTCCAGCTGTGAGTGAAAAAGGTGAGTGAGAAAAGAAGCCCAGAGTTCAAACCCTAGTATCATCACAAAAAACTAACTAAAATAGATAATAAATGTCCACTCTCCTATTACAGAAAGTGGCTACCATCAGAAGAGCTCTCACTCCTAAGCAGGAGCAGGTCCCAGGGTTTTTGACTTGGACCTGCCTCAGAGAGAGGGAATCTTAGAGTTCACAACAGTCTGTGGTTGTGGTTCCATAGCAGGGATCCAGCTAACCACAGAACAAAAGATGAACTGAACTTTTTTTTCTTATCATTATGCCAAATGATACAATAGAAAAGTCATTTCCATATTATTGACATTGTTTTAAGTAATCTAAGATGATCTAAGTCTATGGGAGGGTGGTGCAGGGATTGTATGCAAATGCTATATTCTAAAGGGGCTTTAGTCTGTCTGGGGATTGTGGAGCCATCGCTCCATGACACTGCAAGAGGATGATGCTCACCCTCCGCCTCCGGTGACATAGCTGTATCCGCCAGTGCCCAGGCCATAGCCGTACCGCTCTCCCAGGAACACGGACTCACTGGAGTCGTAGCAGCTAAGCAGGTGCCGGAGCCTGGAGATGCTGCAATGCCAAAGAGAATATAACAAACAATTACTGCATTCAAGTGTGATTTCAGCATAAATATTTCCTGGTATTACAACCCCCTGAGTACATGGCATAGCACCACACCAAAATCACCAGTGAGCTTCAGGTGGCTTACAGAAAAAACAGATTTCAAGAAACCAAAAACATGCAGAAGCATCATTCATCACTAGCAGGACAGAAATGGAGAAACTAGAGACTTACTTCCAGTAGGAACCTAGCCTGGCCAGGAGTGGCTGCCGAACTTTTGGTCTAGGACAGCTGGAGGGCCCTCAAGCTCATGCTACCAGTCCCGTTTCTAAGCTAGCAAAGGCCACTGCACACATCTTTTCAGATGGGTTTTGTGGTTGTTTTTAACTCTTGATGGCCACAAAAGGAGGTATTTGTTGTTGTTGTTTCTGTGTCAGTATTGAGGCTTGAACTCAGGGCCTTGAACTTTCACTTGGGCTTTTTCTGTTTAAAGCTGAAGCTCTACCATTTGAGCCACACTTCTACTTCTGGCTTTTTTGCTGGTTAATTAGAGATTAGAGTGTCACAGATTTGGACTGGTTTCCAATCATGATCTTCAGATCTCAGCCTCCCGAGTACCTAGGATTGCAAGACCTAGGATTGATGTAACAAATGAATGTGGAAGTCCATGTCTCAAGAAGAATTTGAGCAGTGAAGCCTTCCTGAAAAATCTTGATGCACAATTCTGCTGACATTTCTTCAGCAAGGCTACCCCTGGGTATGAATGTCTTTTGGTTTTTAGTTTTTACTTTTTGGCCTTTTGAGACATCACACTTCCTAGTCCAAGACTAGCCTAAAATTCATGATCTATCTGACCAGTTTCCAGGGGGCTGAGATTACAGGAGTATACCACCACATCCAACAAATGAGTTTTTAGCCTACTTGTGACTCATTCTCAATATGTTCTGGCCTTGTGCATTTTTGTGACATATCAACAATAACTGTTTACAAAGGGCAATAAGAATACTCAGGGACTTGTCAGATCAATGCTTGTAAGCACAGATGGTTTAAGAAATAAATGTAAAAAGTTTTCATAGAAGCTGGGCACTGGTGGATCACACTTATAATCCTAGCTACTCAAAAGGCTGAGATCTAGAGGATTGAGGATCCAGGCTAGCCAAGTCAGAAAAACTCACTAGACTCTACTTATAAAATAGCAGCACAAAACTAGACTGGAGGCATGTCTCAAATGGCAGAGCATTAGGTTAGTAAATAGGAAGCTCTGAGTTTAAACCTCAATACCAACAAAAAAAAATTCCTGGAAATTTATTTAAAATAAACTTTTTAAAACAAACAAAGTTTAATGTTAAGAAAAACAAGCATTTTTTCCTAGCTAAACTTACACCATTTAAAAATTCCTGGTTATAGTAACACCTTCCTATAATCCCAGCACTGGGAGGCTAAGGCAATAGAATCAAGAGACTGAGACGAAAAAAAAAGAAAAAAAAGCCTGTTTCTCCTAGTCTAGCGGTTTGTAGGTTACATTCCTCAAGACATTCTGTCAGTCTTGCAAAAACATTTTCCTGCCAGGTGCTAGAGGCTCACACCTGTAATCCTAGCTACTCAAGAGGCTGAGATCTGAGGATCAAAGTTTGAAGCCAGCCCATACAAGAAAGTACTGTAAGATTCTTGTTTCCAATTAACTACCAAAAAGCTAGAAGTGGGGCGGTGGCTCAAGTGAAAGAATGCTAGCCTTGAGCAAGGGAAGCTCAGGGACAGTACCAAGTCCCTGAGTTCAAGCCCTAGCCAAGGATACTTTTTTTTTTTTAATGGAATAACCTTTCAAGATGTGCCTTGGTCTGTGACCCATCAGGCATACTTGAGAGGTAAATATGGTTTCAGCCATTTGTCTAAACCATTAATGGGAATGTTTTTCACAGAGAAAAGTTAACAGGGGCACCTCTGGTTGGTAACCAGATGGTGATAAGGAAACAAAGTGGACATGTGTCAAGGGACATCTTTTCTATTCATGTCCTATCCATATCAACACGTCCTACAAAAATAGCCCAGCTGAGAAAGCTGAAACAGAACATGAGGGGTGCAAATGCACTGCATGAAGAGATTTATCAGTCCTGTTGCTCAATAGCTTCCAAATCTGTGGACTGGCATTGCAATCTGTCTGAAGGTCACGGCCTCTGACTACATGGACAGTTTCTGACTGATCATAAAGAACTAAGCTGGTTTTTTTTTTTTTTTTTTCTGGATACATGTTAAACATTCCAAGTACCTAATTTGGAATCTGTCTTCCAGAAGTTATCTGAATCCTATAATCCTGGTTCTTCAGGAGGCTGAGATCTGAGGATTATAGTTTGAAGCTAGCTTGGGCAGACAAATTCCAGAGACTCTTATCTCCAAATAAGCAGCAAAAACAAGAAAGGGAGGTGTGACTCAAGTGGTAGACCATCAGACTTGAACAAAAAGCCAAGTGAAGCCATGTCTGGGTGGCTCATGCCTGTAATCCTAGCTACTCAGGAAGCTGAGGTCTGAGGATTGCAGTTCAAAGCCAGCCTGGGCAGGAAAGTCCATGAGACTCTTATCTCCAATTAATGACTAGCTCAACATGCTTGAGTGCAAGCCTTGAATGAAGGAGCTCAGGGACAGGGCCCAGGCCCTGCGTTCAAGACCCATGACCAATAACAGCAACAACAAAAGGAGCCCAGTGAGAGCAAGAGGCTCAAAGTTCAAGCCCTAGTACTAGCATACACAAAAAAAGAAAAATGTTATCAGCGGTAGACAGGTAAGTACGCTGGTACTGTTCTGCTGCTCCGTCATGAAGAATATCCTCTTAAATTAAAAGAAAACTGCAGCTTTTGGTTTATTAAAGGCTCTGCACAAATCTGTAGCTCTCTACAGCAAACGTATGCCTACTTCCACACCTGATAAAAAGAAAGAGAATCCACAGCATGTCTGTCCCTTGGTGTATCGTAAAACTGCCACTTCAGCCTGGAGCCTTTCATTTTTTAAAGCTCAGCTAACTGGGATTTTACCATGGCATCTGGGTTTCTTTCCCTTATTCATGGTATCATTTCAAAGGATCACAAATGGAGTCTGATCATTATCAAATGTTTCATATTTGCTACAAATGTGCCTAAAGCAGACAGAGCTCCCATTTCTGTCTATGGGGTTTGGATACTGATCCAGGAAAAGAATTTCATTTAACAATCTGTTCCCATTTCAGGCAGTTTTGAAGACAGACATGGAACTCTGCTGTGAGTGAGTGCTGAGCCATGCTGGTGAGGCTGATCAGTGCCAGCAGCTGTTCACAACGGTGTAATAATCCATGCGTCCCACTCTAACCTACAATGGAATTTATTTTTTTCACTTTTTATTTGGCAATAATTTCAAGATTACAGAAAGCTTACACTAGGACAAACAAATCCAAGAGACTCTGATCTCCATCTAACCAGTAAAAAGCTGGAAGTGCAGGGGTGGCTGTCAGCCTTGAGGAAAAAAGTAAGGGACAGAGCCCAGGCCCTGAAATCAAGGCCCAACACTAGTGTGCATGTGCGTGCACATGTGTGTGCACACACATAGATATTAGTCTGGTTTCCATACTGGTCAGTAGCAACATTTCCCCTGCTATTGCTGAGTCTCTGAGCAGATAATTTAACATGCAAATCAGCCAGTCCTTCTCAAAATAGATCTCTGCTTTAACGTACATTAATGATCCTTGTCTGAATCAATCTTGGATGGATACTAAGTAATAGTTTTCCCAATTCCATCACTCTGCTCATTTATTAATGATTAATAATTCATTATTCTCCAAGCAAGAGGCCAGCCTTCTCCCCATTTATTTACCTTACTTTTTAGGCATGAACTTATCCATCCCTTATTTTTACCCGGGTTTCCTTTCCACAGCATGAAGTTTTGTTCCCTAAAGTATTAACATTTATTCAATCCTACGATGTACCTAAAATAATTCAGAACTACTTCACCCACACTACTTCAAAAACCAGGATGTGTTTGAAGTTACTCCCTTCTCAGTCCTGACTGACAATATATAGTTAAGTACTATCTTCAAGTCACTTGATTCTTTCTATTCTTTATTTTTGTGATTATCTTTTTCACTTGAAATATACTTTGAGCTCTTTCCTGTTTCTTCTCCATCCTTGATAATGTATTTGTCCTTATTCATTTGATTTAGATTGATATTCAAAATTATTTGATTGTTTTATATATGTGCCAGTACTCAAGGCCTGGGTAATGTCCCTTAGCTTTTTTAATTCAAGACCGCACTTTACCACTTGTTCCACAGTTCAACTTCTGGCTTTTTGCTGGTTTAACTGCAGAAAAGAGTCTCATGGACTTTTCTGCCCAAATTGGCTTTAAACCCTTCTTCAGCTCTCAGCCTCTTAAAGTAGCTAAGATTATAAACATGAGCCACTGGTGCTTTGATTCAGATAATATAGTTTTCATCTCTAGAAGATGAAAGACTAGATTATTTCAGACTTATTTATATGTCCTACAGGTCTTTATATGGAACAGACTTATAAAACAAATATTAACAGCTTAATAGCTATGAATTTTAACACTATATTAATTCTGGAGCAATTTTAGCCAATGGATTTTTTTTCTCTATCTTTCTGCTGCTATACATGCTATTAATTTTGAACTGTATAAATGACAGTGTGAATTTTACTGGCTGTTGTATTTTTTTTTAATTTCTATGAACCTTGCTATTTGTTCACAGACAGAAGCTCGTTCCTTGGAAGTAGTTTGATCTTTGGGATGTTTTGCTTTGCAGATTAGTTTAATGGGTCTAGAGCAATGTTTAGTCTAGCGCTATTTCTTACAATTGATGTAAGACCTTCTAAGTATATTTTATCCAATATACTGTGAAACACAGGTTTTCTAATATGGATAGTGGGAACAGGGACTATCATGCCTAGGTCCATCTGAGGGTCCACCACTATTCCCATGAATCAATTTCTTTCCCATCCTTTAGTAACTTCCTCCCACAGACTTGCTACTGAACACTACCCTATACTTAGGGAGAATCCTCCACAGATCTCAAGGGCATTCTTTCTACAGCTATCTCCTTCCTGGAACTCTATCCTGCCCTGCAAACGATCTGCCATGGCATCTGGAAACTCTCAAGCTTCATCCTCTCAAGGTTTCACATGGTGCCTTCCCTTAAGCAATAGTGTACCTCTCTTCAGGCAGTCAGCCAGGGCAACCATTCACTTCATGTGGCCAGATGTCCAGTGCCTTAAAACCTTTCATCTCATGCATTATGTCCTTGTAAAGAGTCACTTCAAAGGAAAGAGCAACCCCTACCACTGTAACTTACTTCATCTTGGCCAGAAGCACAAGTACTTATCCTAGCTTTTGAATATAAATAGATGCAGAATTTAAAATCGCAAAGGATGAGAATGACTCCTTACCTTATTAAGGTATCATCATCCACAATGACTAACCATGCCACTTTGTCATGGCTATTATTCAAAAATCTTTCCAAAATGGCAAATGTTTTTCCACAATGACCTAAGAAAGGTAAGACAAAGAGTAAGACAAAAAAATGTATGTTCTGCTTTAACATATAGATGATTCATTATAAGTTGTTTTTGTTTAAAAGTGATAGAAGAAAGAGCTCGAGCATCAACAAGCACCTTAGTAACTTTCCCTAGAAGGTAGAACGTCATTTCTGGTTTTCTGTAATCTCTAGTTACCATAAGCATTGTGAAGCACTGTTATAAACTTCAGAGATCCTAAGGTCTATCCATTTCCCACCTGAATGTGGGGGAGAGATTACGAGGTCCTGCCAACAATCTGAATTTGAGGTTGACCTAGAATTACCTTCCACATAGAAAGACAAAAGCTGTTAGATTGTCACAGCAATTCACAGAGCGGGGCCTCTTTTCTTCTTAGACATTATTCTGAAGGAACTGTTGGAACTTGGGAAAGCACTGGGGTAAAATTGGAAGGCGACAGCTTCATTCTGTGGTAAGGACTTACTAGTATACAAATCATACAGATATAGCACCAAATAAAACAGAGCTAGTCTTTCAAATGCCAACAGATAAGTTCTAATGCTTCAGTAATAAAAGCTGGGGTCAAAATAAGATTAAAGCAGTAGGGGAAAATATTCAAGTTGATAGACAGGAATATGCCTCATTTTCTCATAAGTGTTTAGTGACCTGGAGGAGTCCACACTCATAAAATTCTTTGTATTAATTAGTATTAAGCCACTGGATTTAATAATACACATTTTTATGTTGTTTATATTTTTGTTAATATTACCGTATCTGTTACAGTATGTATTTTTGAAATGTATTGACTAATTTATGACATTTATAATTACTAACCTACTTCATGATTTCACATTTCTTTTAGTATAAAAAACAAAACAAATTAGCTACTCAGGAGGCTGAAATCTGAGGATCACGGTTCAAAGCCAGCCCAGGCATGAAAGTTTGTAAGACTCTTATCTCCAATAAACCACTCACAAAACCAGAAGTGATGCTATGGCTCAAGTGGTAGAGCCCTAGCCTTGAGCTGAAGAGCTGAGGGATAGTGCCCAGGCCCAGAGTTCAAGCCCCACAACTGGACAAAAAAATAGTAATAAAAAAACAAATATAGTAATAAGGCCAAACTAAAAATAAATGAAGAAATCACTCAGAAATGCATGAATGGATGAATGATTATAAATGTCAACTTAAATTGATGTTTTATAAAGTAAGGTTAAAAAAAAAAAAACCTCAATCTAAAATAGCCTCTTAAAAACAAACAGCAGCAACCTGTTCTACCCTGTAGTCTACTACTCAAGGCCTTACGAATGATGCTTGCATAAAACAATCCAGATAAACAGTTCTACAGAACAAGATAATCAGTTTAATCCTTTTCTAACCAGAAAAGTATATGAAAATTTCAAAAAAACTAAAGAAAATTTAAAAAAAAATTGTGGTGGGAACACTGGGCAAACATTAAGACAAAGAACATCTGATAAAAGGCCAGCCAAGTTTCTACTCCCACTCTTCGAAATGTACTCGTTATCTTGCCCATGTAATTGTAACTCCTCTGTACAGTATTCTCACAATAAAAAAAAAGGGGGAAGGTGGCTCACTGGTAGAGCACTTGCCTTGCATGCCTGAGGCCCGGGTTCAATTCCTCAGCACCACATAAGCAAAAAGAAAAAAGCCGGAAGTGGTGCTGTGGCTCAAGTGGTAGAGTGCTAGCCTTGAGCTGAAGAGCTGAGGGACAGCGCCCAGGCCCAGAGTTCAGGACCCAGGACCGGACTAAAAAAATAAATAAAAATAAATGTTTTAAAGCAAGAGGAAGTAGCAGAAGCCTGTAATCTGATATAGCTGAAAGGTAGCGATCAGAAACAGAAGTACATGAGACTCCGTCTGAACCAATGGCTAAACATGGTGTATGCCTGCCATGCTAAAGACAAAGAGAAGCACAAATAGGAGGATCACAATCCAGGAAGGTCTGGGCATAAATTGAAATTTTATCTGGAAAATAACCAATGCATAAAGGGGTGGGTGGAGTGGTTCAAATGGTGGGATGCCTCCCTAGGAAGTGTGTGCACCAGTTCAAACCCCAGTACCACACACACACACACACACACACACACACACACACACACACACACACACACACACACACACACACACACACACGGGTTTTAAATAAGCAAACCTCCCATCTGAAAAGAAAAGCAAATGTGCTTCTAACAATGTACTCGTCAAAGTAGTATCCCATATGATATTACTTACTCCACACTTACATGGTGTATATGCCACTCAGGTATAAGTATGAACTGATCTTAAGAATTAGGAAGGAAAGCTTCGTGTGGCAAGAGGACACATTAACTTGGTGCATCTCATTAATGGCCACAAAGAACTGAGAAAGTATAAAGAATCTATGGTAAGTGTTATATGTTCAATCACGGTGATACAACCTCCTAGCAAATACAACCCTTAGTTTACTGACAGTCTGTCTCTGTGCAGGAAGAAAATGGTTAGCAGAAAAAGAAAAAAAAGCAGACATGAAGCAGATAGGAAAATACTTGGGAACTATTTCATTTGTATTCTGACTATATTAACAGAAGGAGGAGTTATAATAAGGGGAGGAGTGAGTATTACAGACTCACCTCTATCTGTATTCGGAATTCCCAGATCCACAGTAGGGATGGAGCTTTCGACATAGTCACTGTAGTACTCAATGAGATGAGCCTCGTCCTCCCAGGTCCGCTTTACAATGGGTACTGGGAAAAAATGACAAGTGACAATCACAGGCACGGCAATAAACAGAAGCATGATCACCTGTTCCCCTCAGTGTCCCAAGGCAGGGCTTGCTTTCCTTCTGAGAACTTCTTCCTGATACAGCACAGGACTCAAGCTCTCCTAGGAACATTTTCAACATCCCTGAGTCTAGCATTTCTTATTTCTGGTCATAAATCTGCTTACTTCCATATTGTAGTTTTTCTAGTCTGCCTATACTATTGTGTTTGAGCAACATTTAATGGATTTTTCTCTTTTTCCAATTACTTATTTCACTTAACTGATCCATAAATAAAGTCTTAAAATGTGTTTGGGGCAGATGCAGAAATGTAAATACTTGGTGGTGGGGGAGGGCTCTGGGGCTTGAACTCAGGGCCTGGTACTGTCCTTGAGTTTTTTGGCTCAAGGCTAGCACTCTACCATTTGAGTCACAGCCTCCATTTCCAGGCTTAGGGTGGTTATTTGGAGATAAGATTCTTCCACATCTTCCTGCCTGGGCTGGCTTTGAACCGTACTACTCCTCAACACAGATATCTAGTCCCTTGAGTAGCTACGATTTACAGGTGTGCATCACTGGCACCCACCTTTAAAAATAGAAATACTTCTCAGGATAGAATATTCAGCATGGAGTAGACAAGATGTGCATTTCTACCTATTGTGCTTTTATCATATCTCTCAGATGTAAAGTTTTTTTCTTGGGTTGGTTTGGTTTATTGATGCCAGTACTAGAGCACAAACTAAGGGCCTTGTACTCTTACTTGGCTCTTTTTGCTCAAATCTGACACTCTACTACTTGATCCACAGCTCCACTTCTGGCCTTTTGGTGGTTAATTGGAGATAAAAGTCTCAAGGACTTTCCTGCCTGGGATAATGTCAAACCAGGATCCTTAGATCACAACCCTGTGAGTAGCTAGAAGTAAGGGTGGACTACCAGCAACTTTTTCTGTATTGTACTGAAGCACTAAATTCCTAAAGATATACTAAACCTTAAAAAATAGTCCAAGACAGCCGGGCACCAGTGGCTCATGCCTGTAATCCTAGCTACTCAGGAGACTGAGATCTCAGGCTCATGGTTCAAAGCCAGCCCAGGCAAGAAAATCCATGAAACTCTTATCTCCAATTAACCACCAGAAAACCAGAAGTGGTGCTATGGCTAAACTAGCAGAGCACTAGCCTTGAGCTGAAGAGCTGAGGGACAGCGCCCAGGCCTACAGTTCAAGACCCACGACTGACAAAAAAAAAAAAATACTCCAAGAGCCGGCACCAGTGACTCATGCCTGTAATCCTAGCTACTCAGGAGGTTGGGATCTGAGGATCGAAGTTCAAAGCCATCCCACACAGGAAAGTCCATGAGACTCTTATCTCCAACTAACCATTGAAAAACCAGAAGTGGTGCTGTGGCTCAAGTGGTAGAGTGCTTGCCTTGACCTGAAGAGCTGAGGGACAGTGTCCAGGCCCACAGTCCAAGCCCCAAAACTGACTGAAAAAAAAAAACTCCAAGATATATTTTCTCATATCAATAAAGAGAGAAATGCTTTCTTCCACATAAAACATTCTAGAATGTTTGCCATAGGGTATCTTAACATTGGAGCAAGGTACAAATTTTACTATCAAAGAAATCCCAGCTGCACAGAGAATGTAAGTCTTCTTCAGAGCATTCTAGACTAAGAAGGAGGGGTGTTTTGTTGCAAGGTACAGAGTGACACATTTTTACCATCTGTGAATTTACTTGCAAAAGTGTTTCCCATTAGGAATGAAAACAAAGTTGACACTGGAACATTTTTATGTGTTCAATCAAACAGATGTGCATCTGCTACATCAGTAAGGTCAATGATTGCTTTGATTTTTCAGGAGTTGGCATTTTTGATTGGCAAATAGACCTTTTGTCTCCATGTGAGAGTCACTGATCACAAAAGAGAAACCCTGATTATGAATCTCATCTCAAGAGAGCATGACAGGCACAGGAGTGTGTCATTTTCTCATGTGGAAGGCTGAGGTGTAGCCTAAGACTGAAAAGCATCCCCATGGCTAATGTAAAACAGCAACAGTTTGGGGCAAATTGAAACACCATCAGCCACTCAATAGGCAGAGGAAGAATTAAGCCAGTGAACACCTGACTCCTCTAGGCTCTTTAGTTATTAATATCATCACCTCCTCTGATTCCATCTGGCTGTATTTTATGCAGACCTCACCCTTTAAATAAACAGACTGCAGCCTCTTTTTATCAAAAAGAACAACAGGTACTAAACATTCCTTGTAATAAATTTGTTCTGATGTGCAGTAAAGATACCAAATGGGTTTCTTTTTTGGTATCCCGAAGGAATAAGGTGTTTGTGTTGAAGAGCTCAGAAAGCTAGGAAAAATAGAACTAAAGGCTGAGCTGATCTCAACTTAACCTCTTTAACAAGGAAGGCTGGCAGAAGACAGACTCACACCCATGATGGGGGGCACAGAAACAATGGCTGCCAGGTGGCACATGAGATGTGCATGCCACCTGAAGACTGCCAACTAAGAAAATGCTTAAGGTTTCCTGTCATCTCACATCGTGAAAAAGCTGTAAAACAAAAGCAACTACTCACTAGGTGCCCAAAGCACATGTCTGAAACCCTAGCCACTCAGGAGGCTGAGATATGAGGATCTGAGTTCAAAGCCAGACTCAAGCAGACAAATCTAGGAGATTCTTATCTCCAATTAACCAGCAATGAGCCAGAAGTGGATATGTAGCTCAAATGGGAGAGTGCCAGCTCTGAGGGCAGAACTTCAAATGAGAGTGTGAGGTGTACTGGTACATCACACACACACACACACACACACACACACACACACACACACACACACACACACTCAAGCACTACTCAAGCTGCAAAGTAAAACTCACAGCAATCATTTCCTTGATGATCTATAATCTTAAATACCATATGTAACACATTAACATATAATAATATAATAATAAAACTTAATACCATATAATCCTTTCAAAAATGTCTTTCAAACCCCACTAACTACTTGTATCTCAGAGAATGTTTCTGTTTTGCTGGTGTCAATATGTACTACTTGCTGGAGCCAAAAACTAAAATATATCTTGTATGTGTTTTAAAAATGTTCTATTGCTTTTCTATCAAATTCCAGACCAATTCTATTACACAAATGTTTCATAATTAAGGGGGAAAAGACAATATTTAAAATATTTTTAAAAATTTGGAACTTGATCTGTTTATCAATGAGAATAGTAATAAAATGAATTCAAGTCAGATACCAATGGCTCACACCTGCAATTTTAGCTACTCAGGAGGCTAAGATCCAGAGAATTGAGGTTTAAAGCAAGCCCAGGGAGAAAAGTCTGCTAGATATCATCTCCAAAGTAAACAGCAAACAAAGCGCTAGGCTGGAAGTATGGTTCAAATGGTAGAACACCAACTCAGCAAGCAAGCTGAGCAAGTTTGAAGTCCTGAGTCTAAACCCCACAAAGAGGAGAGGAGGGAGAGGAGGGAGAGGAGAGGGGAGGAAAGAGGAGGGGGAGAGGAGAGGAGAGGAGAGAAGAAAAGGGGAGGGGAGGGGAGGGGAGAGGAGGAGAGAAGGGAGGAGAGAGGAGAGGAGAGAGAGAGAAAGAGAGGGGGAGAGAGGGGGTAGAGAAAGAGAAAGAAAGAGAAACATGAAAGAAAAATGAAAGAGAAAGAAAGAAAGAAAGAAAGAAAGAAAGAAAGAAAGAAAGAAAGAAAGAAAGAAAGAAAGAAAGAAAGAAAGAAAGAAAGAAAGAAAGAAAGAAAGAAAGAAAGAAAGGAAGGAAGGAAGGAAAGGAAGGAGGGAGGGAGGGAGGGAGGGAGGGAGGAAGGGAGGGAGGAAGGGAGGAAGGGAGGGAGGGAGGGAGGGAGGGAGGGAGGAAGGGAGAGAAGAAAGGGGAAAACCCTAAACATATTTTCCATTGCCACTCAGTCCTTCATCTCCATCTGGGGAGAAGATCAACCCTAATAAAGTAGGAGTGTATGCTCACAAGCAACAGTACAGCCCACTCTTGGTTTTCAAAACTAAGTACAATTTCCTATTTACAGTGTTTTTCCTTCATTGTCATTTGGCCTTTGTTTCTCTAAGTATTTCTACCCCAAAGAACACAAAATAGGAAGAAGAAAAAAAGCATAACAGTAACAAAAACTAACCCACCCATGTATTCTTCTGACTGTGACAATATGTTTGGGCAGGGGTGGTAGTTTGAATTCGCACCTAATGTGTACTGTAGATCACATGTGTTCTGTTAGAAATAAAAGCAGTTGTGGTCCACTTTCAATACAAGGCATTTGATTCTGAGTGGAAAATTACTAGTCGCTTACTTGCATGGTGACTTGAGGATGTGACAATTCATGTATTTGAAAGTCTGTGGACAGATTAGAAGAGGGGAGGTGAATAGCAGAGAAGAATGAACTATAACAAAATAGGAAAATGGATAGAAACAGTGTACATACCAAAAAAGCACATACCCAGAAAAGATTTCCTGACACAAAAGAATAAGGGGGAGTGCAGATAGCCAAAAGTCCAAAAGCCCATTTCTAAAATTCAACCAATCTCATGAAGTGAATGTATTCAAGTCAACCAATAGAAAATATGTAAACTTAAGTCACAACTAGGAGAATAAATGCAAATCCCATTGTACTCAACCAATGTGGAACTTGGGGAGGAACCTCAGATCCTGGGGGATCACTTGCTTGTTCTAACAGCCAAGGCTGTGCCTGCCAGTCAGACAATCATTTTCCAAGACCACCCACTGATGTCTGGTTTGTACTCCCCGCACGCATGCCCCTGAGCTGATTCTCAGGCTTGAACTCAGGGCCTTGGCACCGTCTCTGAGCTTTTTTGCTGAATGCTGGCACACTTGAGCCACAGCTCCACTCCCAGCTTTTTGGTGGTTAATTGGAGATAAGAATCATGGACTTTCTTGTCCAGGCTGGTTTTGAACTTCCATCCTCAGATCTCAGCCTCTCGAGTAGCTAGGATTACAGGCATGAACCAACAACACTGGGCTTACTATACTTACCTTCAAGTCCATCATTTAAGCATGAATCGGTATGTTTTTCATAGTTCCAATTTTTTGTTATCTTCATTGCTACTGAAAGTGAAAAGCCAGCTCTTAGAGCTCTTGGCCAAATCCGAACTGACCTTGAGCATAGCAGGGTATCAACATAAATGTCAAAGCCAATTTATCAAACGGTGAGACTATAATATATCTAAGGAACTGTGAGCAGAGCTGTGACATGTAGAAAGAACATGGGGCTTTTGGAGCTAGAAACCCAAGTCTTGCTTCTCCTTTTCAGGAGGGGAAGCATCTATGCCAGTTGTCAATGATGTTTACAGTCAGCTTTTTCTACAATATCAAGTGAATAACAGTGACTATCACATCAGGATGAAGTGTTAACATGAAATTAGATGGTGAAATACATGCGAGAAACACACCAAACACAACAAAAACACTAGCAGTGAAAAGCCATTACTGTGGCACTGTTTTTGTCACTAATTAGTAGATTGTTCTTTGGGACAACTGGCTAGACAAGACTTCTAACAGAGAGGTGGACACCAGAGGCCTGTGCAGGCTTCACTTATGCCCAGCCAAGTTCTTAAAATGCTGCCAACTTAGACTATCTTTTCACATACTTCTAAGTTTAAAGAGGGCTGGCCACTGAAACCCAATTAAGATATTTATTGTCTCATGACTCAGTCACCCTACATTGAAATTAACAACAAATGATCAATGTATCCAGCTTGGGGAAGTTTCTCTGTAATGTTCCTAACAGGCTTTTAAAATTTTGTAATTTTAAATACCTTTGATTCAAAATCCAGCTATAAAAGCAGTTGATACATATCTGAATAAATCTCAATGTTTAAAAATACTACATTAAGATGAGCAAACTTTTATTTCTGCAGACCAAAATAAAAAATCCAGCAGTGATAGAGTCCCTAATTTTACTGCTTCAGTGTTCATCTGAAAAATGTATTACAAAGGTGAGTTCAACCAATAAGCCAGACTCCTGAGGCTCACACCTGTATCCTAGCTACTCAAGAGGCTGAGACCTGAGGATCCCAGTCCAGACAGACAAATCTAGCAGACTCTTAGTACCATAAACCAACTGCAAAAAGCTGGAAGTGAAGCTATGGTTCCAATGGGAAAGTGCCAGTCATGATCAAAGAAAGAGGGAGAGAGGGAAAAAGAGAGGGAGAGAGGGATGGGGAGAGAGGGGAGGGGAGGGGGGGAGAGAGACAGAGGAGGAGGAGAGAGAGAGAAAGAGAGAGAGAAATTATTGATTATAAGTAGCCTTTAATTTAGCTTGCTGTCTTAGGCAATATTGAACCCAAATCATAATATTGTTTATTTGGAAAGTATCTTCTACTTTAAAAATATAATTTGTATGCATCATATTACTTCCTAAAATATATAAATGAATTCCCCCCATCGTTCCAAATCCATAAAGATGACAGCTGGCTTAGAAATCTCTTCTACATAAATATCACACCCTTAGTACAATTGACAGTCTTTTCATGGGAAAAAAAATTAAAGTAGATGCCAAATTAGAAAATGTGAAAGACTGCCTCACTTTCAATATCAGAAAAAGTGTTGCTTGAAATGAGGTGTAAAATGGGAGAAATTATGTCTATTTATATTTAGGCTATTTTTGGTTTTAAAAAACATTATCCTAACAGAATTCTATAATGACACCAAAAATGAATGGAAACAACATTTATCTGTAGGCCAGGGTCTCCTGAAGAAGGGTTGCTGCTTCAAAGGAAACTTTTTATTTTTCTCCAATATATCTACTTAGAAGCAAATACATATTTTTATTTGAAAGAACCAAGTGGCCAGGCAATGATGGTTCATTCCTGAAATCCTGGCTACTCAGAAAGCTAAGATATGAAGAATGCTGGTTCAAAGCCAGCTCAGGCAGGAAAGTCCATGAGACTCTTATCTCCTTAACCAGCAAGAAGCTAAAAGTGGAGTTATAACTCACATAATAGTAGACAGTGTCCAGATCCAGAGTTAAGCCCCAGAGTTAAGCCCCAGTACCAACGCGCGCACGAACACACACACACACACACACACACACACACACACACACACACGAGAGGAACCAATGTGATATTAGAAATCAATATAAAAAGAAGAAACAGTCTTTGAACAAATTTCCTTTGTTGGCATTGTTAGCTTGAAATTCCAATTTCAGAGACTAATTCCAGACCCAACAAGTCCACACATGGCTTTACAGAATGAGTAGTTACATGTTATTTCCAAAATTATACAGCTGAACTTTACTATTTCCCCTTTAAAATGCTGCTCTTAGTAATACATAGAAGGACTTTGGCCACTCTTGTTTTAATACAAAATTGTCCTTAATTGGTCATGGTGATTGAAAGGTCCAATGAGAAATGTTGAATTCAATTCAGTATTTCACTTGTCAGTATCTCCTTTCCTGAGTGTGTATTTTTGTGAGCATATTTGTGGTGCTACTAGGGCTCAAATGCAGGGCCTTGCATTCTAGTTTAGCGTTTTTGCTCATGGCTGATGCTTTGCCATTTTAGCCATACCTTTACTCCAGCATTTTACTGGTTAGCGAGAGACAAGTGTTTTGAAACTTTTCTGCCCAATCTGGCTTAAAACCATGATCTTTAGATCTCAACCCCCTGAGTAGCTAGGATTACAGGTGTGAGCTACTATTGCCCAGCTCTGGTTTGTACTTTATACCAAAGGGTAGTTTAGATTTGAGAAGTTCAGTAGAAATAACCCAAAACATACTTCTATCACCATGAAATTTCTTGCATGTTTTTACTGCAACAAAAATATCCTCTTTCTTCACAGGTTTCCCCTAAAAAAAAAAAAAACAAGAAGAAAAAAATACAACTATGAGTCACAGAGTTATCTAACATTGTGCTATGTTAGATCTTACATACTCTGGAGTAGTTAGATCTTACATACTCTGGAGTCTTAATTAACCCATGTCAGGGACATCAAAGCTACTTCAGGGTGAAGTTTCTGGGGGAAAAAGGAACTGTAGTTCAGCTGACTATAGTCTCCAGAGTTGAAAGCCCTCGACCTGCATTCCAACCTACTCTAGCACAGGAGACTGCACACACAAGTTCTCCCACGCTCTACTCATTAAGAGAAAGGGAGTAATAGTCATTAGAAGGCTGCAATTAGTAAGCACATGGAAGGTCTTTCCTTTTCCCAGCTCAGGATTTTTAAAAGAGGGGAAAATGAGGGGCAAGTATTTAAATAAATAATAAATGACTCACTTTTCTGGTCCTGGCTTTACTTCGATATTATCTTTACGTAGCCTCTATTGACTACCCAAGTCTAGGCTAAGGATGTTCTGTACTCTGCCCAAGGTGATTACTTCAAAACCCCTTGAGGACGAGTGTCACAAAGACAGATGAAAGGGACCCTGAGAGACTGGTGGACAATGTGAACCCAAGCCCATCAAGTGCTACCTGTCTCAGGCTATAATAATACTCAGTCATGACTCCTCCATGCTGGTATTAATTTGTAGCAACACCCAACTCCAAATGCACAGCTCTCAAGGTACTATGAGAAGCACTGCAGAGCAAGTCAATTCCTCAGTATAACACTATGTGTGTGTGATATGTTGGTGAGGATGGTTATCTTTTAAAATTGCATACACAATCTTCTGTGTGACCAAGGTAGCTGAACATGTTTTCCCTTCTGCAGAAAAACTGTTACCTATCTAGTGAGTTTGGGAGGGGGGGGTCTTCAGGTTCATCCTTGAGACTGGACAATAGGTTTATTCTAACAGGGAAGTCCCCTCTGAAAGTTTTGAATAGTCTACTTGAGGGTCAAATGCTAAGGGTAGAGGAATGAGCTTGTGGAGAAGGCTTATGTGTCCCAGTAAATGTTTGAAATAATCCCAGAAGTAGAATAAAAAATGCCAATCAACACAACTGTATCATCAACATAGGAAATAACCTAAGCCTGAGCATATAGGAATAAAAGAGTGAGAGAATTTGGGTCCATCCTGCTACCTTCCTTACCAGCTGTGCAGCCTTCAGCAAGCACCTAATCTAACAGTGGAATGTCTTAACTTTTGCTCCTTTTGCATTCTGAATTCTGAAGACAAACCACATCTAACCCATTAGGATTTTTAATTGCTGCTGGGCACTGGTGGCTCATGCCTGTACTCCTAGCTACTAGTCAAGAGGCTGAGATCTGAGGATCATAATTTGAAACTAGCCCAGGTAGAAAAAGTCCATGAGACTCTTATCTCCAATTAACTACCAGAAACCAGAAGTGACACTGTGGCTCAAAGTGGCAGAGGGCTAGACTTGAGCAAAAAAGCTCAGAGACAGCTCCCAGACCCCGAGTTCAAGCCCTATGACTGACCAAAAAAAAAAAAAAAAAACCTAAACACTTTCTTTGGATTTAGACAATCCAAACATCTGCTGACCTTCAGAGAACTTCAAAATGTGTAACTCCGGGAAAACTCATTTCCAAGTCCCACTGCTCACTCTTCTGAGCAGCCTTTATGTTCACATTGTTAAATAAACTCTTTTTTTAAAAATGTGTAACTCCCCTCCTTAATTCTGTGCAGCAGCAAACACAAAACACAGATGTTTAACTTGCAGAAAAGTCATCTTTGCAACCAGTCCCAGCAGGTCAAGATTGAGTGTAAAGTTTTGGAGGGGACAGGGGCAGGAAAGAGCTCTATAGGTGCCCTGGATGACCAAGACCCTGCTCAGCACACAGTCTTCCTGCCCACTCCTTTCCCTTCTTACAAATGCCTTTTCACAAACCTGAGTTCATCGTTTCATGAATCTCATCTCCCTGCCCTTGGCTTTGTGGTAAGCAGACTGACTTGGGGCAATAACACTAGTTCCCTCCCCTCTCTGGAAGAGAGAGTCTCTCTGGAATAGGAGGTAAGCAATAGAACTTACAGGACTGGCCACATGATTCAGGCTCAGGACTGGAGCAAAGGATGATTTATTTTTTTAAGGATATAACATACAAGGACAACGTTATCCAGAGCATGTACATTTTCTTCTATTACTTACACACAGTGGTAGGAAAGAATGGAATGTGGTGGCACAGCTGGAGTCCACATCTTCTGTACAAAACTCGGCTGTGGGAGTGAGGGTAGTCCCTCTTCCTTTGTCCCAGATGTAGAGAGCAATCTGTGGCAATACAAGATACCAGAAATGAGGAAGGAACTCAGCCACCACAAGCGGAAAAAAATTGAAAATATCTCAGGGGCCTGGGGCTAGCATCTCAATCCTATGGTATTAGCGTCTCAGGAAGCTAAGATCTGAGAATTGGGTGGTCTGAAGGCAGCCTGGGCAGTTGAGTCCACGTGACTTATTTCCAATTAATCAGCAAAAGGCTGAAAGTGAAGCGATGGCTCAAAGAAAGATACAGGATGACCCATTATAACAATGAGATGTACAAGACACTATGTTGAAAACTTTGATGGGGGGAAGAGTTGGGAAGGGGGGAAAAGAGATGGTAGGGGAAAAACAAAGGAGGGAGTAACAATGCTTGATAGGAAATGGACTCATTACCTTGCTCATATAACTAACCCCTCTATAAAGTATCTTTACAATAAAAAATATATATTTAAAAAATTTTTTTAAAAAAGAACCAGCCTTGAATGAAAAGGCTAAAGGAGAGCACCCTGGCCCTGAGTTCAAGCCCCAGTATCAGTTCAGAAAGAAAAAAGTCTCAGAGGTAGCAGAATACATTTTTCTAGAAAGTGTTACATGGAGCTGTGTCAATTTGTCAACGGCTAATAAGATTAATTTATCAAGAATAAGCAATGACAACAATGATCCAATATTCTGACCTCCAAAACTTTCCAAATTTAACAATATGCAATTTTAGGGAAGAACATATTCTACACCATCACAGAGACAGATGTAAGGAAATAGGCTGACAGCTCTGGATTCCCACAGCCACTTTGATGAAAATGTCTAAAAACATTGGATACATTGCCTTTCAAGTTGTTTAAAATATTCTGCCGCATTGACCCCAAAGTATGAAAGCTGTGAGCACAAAAATGTGAGGGTGAGAAACCGTTGGAGAACAGCATCCAGGTGGCTTTGGCTAGCTGGTGCTAGCTAGGGAATGAAGAAATAAGGCCAAGACCTCACCAAGGTGGGGCACAGCTAACCATCACTGGTCACATAAAGCCAGCACCTGGGAGCTAGGTGAAAGGGAAAATAACCTCCAAATCTCATTCTGAAATTGCGTATCTAAAAATCTAGTCCTCTTGACTAGTGTTACCTAAAAATGTTAAATGGAGTAAGCTGTTCTCAATTGCTGGGCACTGGTGGCTCACACCTGTATTCTTAGCAATTCAAGAATGCTGAGATCTGGCAGATCACAGCTTGAAGCTATCCTGGGGTGGTGGGGGGAAAAGCCCTCAAGATTCCATCTCCAATTAACCAGCAAAATGGCAGGCTGGAGGAATGGCTCAAGTGGTAGAGTGCTGAGCAAGAAAGCCACAAAAAGAGGACACAAAAAGGCTGAAAAAAGACAGATGAGAAAGAATTATGGAACAAGGAAAGATAGTGTAAAACTAGTCATGTCAACAAAATAAATATTAAAATGAAGAGGATTACTAGAGACAATAAATCCATTAGGAAGTGATAACCATTTTAAGCTAGCATGTATCAAGTTAGCATAGCCTCAGTATAATCAAGAGCTGGCAGTTCAGAGCCATTATTCTTAAGCAAGATTTCTGCAGGCTCCCTGAGTAAATGAAATTAAATAGAAAACTGAAATGTAGGGCTGGGAAGGTGGCTCAGTGGTAGAGCGCTTGCCTTGCATGCTTGGGGCCCTGGGTTCGATTCCTCAGCCACCACATAAGCAAAAAGAAAAAAGCCGGAAGTGGCGCTGTGACTCAAGTGGTAGAGCGCTAGCCTTGAGCTGTAGAGCTGAGGGACAGCGCCCAGGCCCAGAGTTCAGGCCCCACGACCGGACCCAAAAAAAAAAAAAAAAAAGAAATGTAAAGGAGGGACGGAGGAAAGAAGGAAGAAAGAAAGGAAGGAAGGAGGGAGGGAGGGGAGGAAAGAAGGAATAAAGGAAGGAAGGAAGAGAGGAAGGAAGGGAGGGAGGAAGGGAGGGAGGGAGGGAGAGAGGGAGGAAGGAAGGAAGGAAGGAAGGAAGGAAGGAAGGAAGGAAGGAAGGAAAAGTTTCTGAAAGGCACAATTAATGGCTTCTTTGATCTAATTGAGAGAAGCAGATTATGAAGCCCAAAATTTAGAGAATATGTATACTCTTTTCTCTATTTATGAAATTAGAACATGAACAAGGTCAAAGTGGGTCTCAAAATTCTCCCAGTGATTGTGATGTGGACAACAGTAATTCTAAGTGAGAAATCAGTAACAAAAACACAAAAACAGCACACCCAAACACAGAGTCACAATGGAAAATACATTTTTTAAAGTAACAGCAAAAAATGCTTAAGAGCCTCTGTAATTTAAAAAATGCAGATAATCATCATCAACTGAAAAATATTTATAGAAACAATGATCATAAGAGCAATACACTAGGAGCTACACAGAAACCCACTGACAGAGACCATTCAGAAGACCATTACAATAAATGAAAATAAGTTAATTAGAGCTACATGCATCTACATAGACCATCTCAAATTAGAATATTCTATTTCTATATAATATATTAATATCAATAAATATAATACAAATACTAATATATCTCTAGTTCTATTTCTGAGGTTGCCTCAAAACTCCAAAAGGATATAAAACTACTTAAGATATTCATAAATACACTTGTGTATCATAAAATATGAAAAAAGCTAGAGAAAAAGAATTTAAGTGTTTACTCTTGAGGTTTTTTTTTTTTTTTAATGCGACCCACTTTTTTAAAAAGTAAGTTTTTTGTTGTGACCAAATACACTTGTGCATGTCATTCTTAGGTTCTTGGTCTTGAGGTTAACCCTAACATTATTGTAATATCTCTCAGTCATATCAGAAGTATTTTTAAGATCAGGGTTCCTTTGCAATCTTAGTCAGATCCAATTTTCATACATGGAGGAGAATATATTCTCTACTTTGGGGGTATATTCTTTTTATAGTTATTATCACAAAGGACTGGGAAGAAGTGTATATGGTAACTGGTAATATTTCCTCTGTCATTTGTTTGTTTGTTTTGATAGTACTAGGATCTGAACTCAAAGCTTCCCACTTGCAAGGCAGATGCTCTAACATTTGAGCCATACTTTATCCCTTTTTCCTTTCATTACTCTTTTAATAACATTTTACAATTATGCCTAGGCCTGCCAGGCCCATAATCCTATTTATGTTTCCTATATAGGTAGAATGAAAAATACACACTAATATACACAGAATTTTACTGATTATTATATAAAGTTTCAAGTTATCCAAGTTGGCCTGGAACCACAATCCTCAAAATCTATGCCTTCCAAGTAGGTACGGATTATTGGCATATGCCAACTCAACTCATTCTATTTTCTCTCTTAATCTAGGTAGGCTAATAGTAGGTTGTTAATTGGTCTTTTTTACCTTTTTGTTTTGTTTTGTTTTTTGTCAGTCGTGGGCCTGAACTCTGGGCCTGGGCGCTGTCCCTTAGCTCTTCAGCTCAAGGCTAGTGCTCTACCACTTGAGCCAAAGCGACACGTCCGGCTTTTTCTGCTTATGTGGTACTGAGGAATTGATCCCAGGGCCTCATGCATGCAAGGCAAGCACTATACCACTGTGCCACCTTCCAGCCCTGGTCTTTTTGCCTTTTACAAGTCAGAGATATCCTTTAGTGTATGTGTTTGTGTTTAGTGTTTAATAAGTTCTGAGTCTAGTTATTTCTTCCAGACATACCTAAACTGTCTTGTTTTCAATAAGTCATTCTTTCTCTCTCTCCCCCACTGACCCTCTTCCCTGGTGTTGGTACTGGGGCTTGGACTCCAGGCTGAACACTCTCACTTGGCTTTTCAGATCAAGGCTGGTACTCTAACACTTGAGACACACCTCTACTTCTGGATTTTTGCTAGTTAGTTGGAGCTACAAATCTAAAAGACTTTTCTGCCTGGGCTGGAATCAAACCTCAATCCTCAGATCTCAGCCTTCTGAGTAGCTAGGATTACAAGTGTGAGCCACCAGTGCCCAGCTTCATTCTTTCCTTTTTGTAGAACAATAAGTGTATTTCCTCTCAAACACACTGTTTCAGCATTTAAAGACACCCAAGAAATAATTGTGTGTGTGTGTGTGTGTGTGTGTGTGTGTGTGTGTGTGTGTGTGTGTGTGTGTGTTCTTTTTGCTCTAGGAAATCTGTCATTACTACTGGACTGAATAACATGCTAAGATTTACCACAATGACATAAGCTCAGATTTCTGCAGTGAACAGCAAATCTGTTTTAGGGCAATCACACATAGTTTAGGAATAAAATAAAAAAGGATTTCTTAAGCGTTATTCAGATACAGGTGGCAGTATAGATGCCACCTGCCTCCAAGGTTACAGGTAACAGATATCCATTGCATGCAAATGGAACCAACCAGGGGCCATGCTGGCAAGTAAGAGCTTTCAGTTTATGGCTCAATTCTGATCCAGAAAGCCAAGCAGAAACAAAGACATATGTCTTAGTCTGTTCAGGTTGCTATAACAAAATACCACAGGTTGGGTTGATTTTAAGTCAACAGTTTATTTCTCAGGGCTCTGAAGGCTGGTGAGTTCAAGATCAAGGTACGACCAGATTCTCTGTCCAATTGGAGCCTACTTCCTGGCTTATGGATGGCATCTTCTCCCTGTGTCTCAGATGGTTTAAGGATCAAGGGAGGGGCTTTATGGGATTTCTTTTATATTGATACTAATCTCATTTGTTTGGTCCCTATCTCATGATTTTATCACCCCCCACAAAGATAAACTACATAGGGGATTAGATTTCAAATATGACTTTTTTGGGAAGATACAAACTTTCAGTATGTAGCAGCATTCCATATAACCAAAGCACCAAATAAAACTTAAGTTTTTAATAACATTTTTTCATGTTCTTTTTGTAATTCCCCCATCTTTATAAACAAAGAGCTATGAAACATAATTGAATCTTTCTCACTACTTCTCACCCATGTAACTAAGATGTGCTTAAAATAGAAAGCTCTAATTCACTAGAGTGCTGTGAAATTATCTCAGTAAAGAGAAGATGAGTGTGGGTGGAAAAATTCACTATTATGGAATACAAAATGACTCATATCAAAACACATGCATTAACCCAGGGTGCTCAACCCAGGGGCTCAAACACAGGGCCTTGTGCATACTAGGTAAACACTCTGCCCCTGAGCCATATTCCCAACAAAAAGCACAAACTCTAAGATTGTTAAATAAACAAACCATGACGTACCTCGTGTTTTAAATCTATTGTAAAGTCAGATTTCAGGGATTCGCTCCTTAACCTCTTGGTGAGCCTAAAACACAGAGACAATTTGGTATTTTTAGCCAAAACCATCAAGAATAACGCATTGCTGAAAGTTTCTAGTATTTGAAAACAAATTAAAATATAAAGTTTAAGGTTAAAAAAAAGAACTGGAGGAGAGTTCCGGGAAGATGGCGGAGGAGAAGCTGGAATCTGAACAAGCTCTCGCATAGAAAGCAGTTTTAGAGTTCCAGTGAACAGTCCTAAGCCAGAGAATCACACCAAGTGTGCCATCACAGGACAGAGAGTTAGTCAAGAGAGGGGAAGCCAAGACAAGGAGACACATCTGACCGCCTGCCAGCAGCCGCGGCGGCGGCGGCAGGGTCGCAGCGGCTACCGCAGCCGCGGCCATACCTGAGCACTCACACAGAGAGTCCGGGACGAAGGAGCCAGACGCAGAGGGCGAGAGGATTCTACTCAACACCAGCAAGAACCGACAAGGAGCGGACAACTTCATCCTGCACTTTGCAGACCAGAGACGACCCAGGATCCAAGACTCGGCGTGAGTAGCCCCACTTCCTCACTCCTTCTCAGGGAGCAGAGGAGGGAAGGCCACCCCTCCCCCCCCAGCACCGGTGATCTCCATCTTGGATACCGACAAAGCTCAGAGGAGCTGCTAGCTCCAACTCAGGCCTTGGAATAAAACGAGTCATTTAACAGGTCACAAGAACTTAACGGCGAAGTGACCTGCCAGACTCAGCTCCATCCAGGGAAAAGTCACCCAGCTCAGGCACCAGCCATTGGAGTGGCTTTCCTCACTGGGTAACCAGAGCCAGAGGCTGCCCCTCCCTCTAGCAGCCTCCACAATCAATTGAAAAACAGAAACCCTGAGAATGGCTCCAGGGTGGGCTCTGTGAATTCTTCACAAAATAGCCCCAGGGAAAAGCTACTGTTTGTTGAAAGGCCTCAACTCTACCAGAACCTAGCCTCATCACCCCTCTTTTGTGATTCTCAAAGCAGATCACCCTCCCATTAAACTAACCTGGGAGGGGGATCTCAAAATCTTGGGTAAAGCAGAGCATTTTTCTGCTTGTTCCAACAAACTGACTTAAGAAACCAATCAAGCCACAGGACCTCAAGCTGACCAGAGACTCCAACAAGAGGCTGGTAACAGACAAAAGGGAGATACAGGATTCTTCCCACCCCTCCCAAAAAAAAATCAAAAAAAAAAATCAAAGAACTTTTTTTTTCTTCTTTTCTTTTTTCTTTTTTTTTTTTTTTTTTTTTTGGTACCTTATATATATAAAATTTTTTTTTCCTTTTCTAAAACTTTTATAAATCTTTAATTTTTGCCTTTTTTGAAAAAATAATTGTTTTCCAGTAACTTTTTTTTCCTCTTATAATTTTTATTTTAGGAATACGTGAATGTACGTTTTCCTTTCTTTTCTTGTCTTCTCTCTTTTTATTTCTTTCTTTCTCAATTATCTTTTTGTTTTTTGTCTAGCTCTACTGAACTTCTGATCTTTTTTTTTTCTCCCTTTCTTATCCTTTTCACCTTTTCCTTTCTTTTGTTCTTCTGTATGTGCCTTAACTCTTGTCCTGCACATCCTGATAAACCCATAGTTAACTAGTAGACCCTATCCCCCATTGTGTACACACTTAATCCACAAATTTATTACTCAATCCAAAACCTCTGAGACTTAAATTCCTTAATAGCAGTACTACCTCTTTATACCTATATAATATTTTAAGCATTTTTTAAGTTTTTCACATCTCCTCTATCTCCCTCCTGTTTTCTCATTATATTCACATTCCTCTCTAAATAGATGGTCTTTCAATCTCCATAACTATATTAATTTTTACGTTTCTAATTTTTTTTTCTGGTCTCTTTTCATTTCCCTTTACCTTTCTTCTTTTTCTCTCCCTCTCTACTTGCATCCTACCCAACCTATTTCCTGCATTGAGATTAGGACATAGTTAACTCTCCCTGTGCCTCCCCACACCAATCTATTCCTAATTTTTACCCACATCTCTCCCTAACCCTAAAAATTTCTGGTTTCCCAAATTCTTCTCTGCGGTTCGAAGCCCATTAACATATAGTTGTCTGATGTTGAATAGATGTATCTGTTGAACTAGATTGTATCTGTAGACTATTGACTGTATAAATGCAAACGTTGGTTGATGGTTGCCTTAAGATAGTGTTCTAGCACAAAACTGGTGCTATTTTCATCTCAAATGGGCAGAGTAAGCCGAAAAAACACAAGAAAAATGGCAAATCCAGGTATCTCAATTCCCAATCTTGATAATCAGGGGTCAGATCAGCTAATGAACAATCCAGAGGAGAGTTCCCAAATAGCTCTACAAACACTGGTGGCAAATATGATAAATGAGAAGTTTGACAACTTACAAAGGACTCTGTATGAGCGTGATAGGGAGAGAGAGGAGGCATCCCAAAAGTTTATGCAGGAATATCATAAGCGTGAGGAAGCTACTCAAAAAATGATACAGGATTTGCGTGAACAACTTGAGAATACTCAAAGAGAAAGGGAGGAATGGCGTGAGCAGGCTGAGAACACTCAAAGAGAACTGCAGGAATCCCAGGAACGGGAGGAAAGAGAACTGCAGGAATCCCACAAACGGGAGGAAGCTAATCAAAGAGTAATTCAGGAATTGAGAGACCAGGTAGAGAACACACAAAGATCAGTAAAGGCATTCATGGAATCCATTAACAAAGAGCTGAAGGAAGTCAGGGAGACCACAAAGGGAATGCTGAATGGAACCCAACAGAAGGAATGGGAGTCCAAAGAAATCATAACCAATCAACTAAGTGATTTGAGAACAAACACTGAACACCAAATTAAGGAAGTAAAGAAATTCATACAAGACCTAAAACAGAGCTTCAACAAAGAACTTGAAGCCATCAAAGCTGACCAATTAGAAGGAAAAGAGATAAAAAACAAAGTAGAGAGTCTTGACAGCAGGTTAGACCATGCAGAAGATCGAATCTCAGGGATTGAAGACAGCCTAGATATTATAGAGAAAGAACATACAACCATCCAAGACAAGTCCAAGAAGTATGATAGATCTATTCAACACCTAGAAGACACCATCAGAAGGCCTAATCTAAGGATAATGGGTGTAGAGGAGCACCTAGAAACAGAAGTTAATGGTCTAGGAAATTTGTTTAACAGGATCCTAGCAGAGAACTTCCCAAACATACAAAAAGATAGGCCTATTCAGATACAAGAAGCTTTTAGAACCCCAAATAGACCAGACCAGAATAGGACATCCCACCGTCACATTATAATCCACACAGGATCAACTCAGACCAAGGAAAAGATCCTTAAAGCTGTCAAGGAGAAAAGGTTAATCACCTACAAAGGGAAACCAATTAGAATCACCTCAGATTTCTCAGCAGAGACAATCAAAGCAAGAAGAGCCTGGAATGATGTATGCCATGCCCTAAAAACAAACAACTATCAACCAAGAATACTGTACCCAGCTAAACTCTCCTTCATAACTGAAGGCCAAATAAAAACCTTCCATAGCAAAGAAAAATTGAAACAATACATCTCCACCAAACCAGCCCTACAAAAGATTCTTAAAGATGTCCTACACATAGAAAACCAACAAGACCGCAACAAAGGCCAAGAAACTGCACCCAAACTGAGAATCCAAGAACCATAGGAAGAACCTAGTTTTCGCAGCCCCCAAGAAGGTGGATAACATGGCAGGAACTCCCAAATACCTCTCAGTCCTATCTCTTAATGTTAACGGACTGAACTCTCCAATTAAGCGACATAGACTGTCTAGTTGGATTAAAAAACAAGACCCTTCTATCTGCTGCCTGCAGGAGTCACATCTTGCCCGTAAAAACAAACACATTTTCAATGTTAAAGGCTGGAACAAAATCTACCAAGCAAACGGCCCCCATAAACAGGCGGGAGTTGCAATCTTAATATCAGATAAAATAGACTTCAAATTAAAATTCGTGAGAAGAGATAAAGAAGGTCGCTACATACTAATTAAAGGATCACTCCTTCAGGAGGATATTACAATTCTAAATATCTATTCGCCAAACAATGGAGCACCCAAATTTATCAAAGAAACACTACTTTCCCTCAAATCCCATATAGATCCAAAGACATTAATTGTTGGGGATTTTAACACACCACTCTCCCCACTAGATAGATCAACTCGGCAAAAACTCAACAGAGAAACCGCAGATCTAAACAGCTGCATAGATCAACTAGACTTAACAGACATCTACCGAACATTTCACCCAGCAGCATCAGAATACACGTTTTTCTCAGCAGCACATGGAACGTTTTCTAAAATAGACCACATTTTAGGCCACAAAGCAAACTTGTCTAAATTCAGAAACATTGAAGTTATACCTTGCATTCTCTCTGACCACAAGGGAATAAAATTAGAACTCAACACCAAAAGCCACCAAAGAAAGTCCAGTATCACATGGAGGCTGAACAACACACTGCTGAATCAAGAGTGGGTCATGGAAGAGATTAGAAAGGAAATTCAAATGTTCATGCTATTCAACAAAAATGAACACACAAATTACCAGCTCCTCTGGGACACAGCAAAGGCAGTACTCAGAGGCAAGTTTATAGCTCTGAGCTCCCATATCAACAAATTGGAGAGATCTGAAACTAGCAATTTAATGACACATCTAAACCTCCTTGAAAAAGAGCAGCAAGATAAACCCCAATCCAGTAGACGGAAAGAAATAATCAAAATTAAATCAGAATTAAATGAATTAGAATCCAAAAAAACTATAGAAAGAATCAACAAAACAAAGAGTTGGTTCTTCGAAAAACTTAACAAAATTGACAGACCCTTAGCAAATCTTATCAGAAAAAGAAGAGAACACACCCAAATTAATAAACTCAGAGATGAAAATGGAAACATCACCACGGAAACAACCAAGATTCAGAACATTATAAGGGAATACTTCTCAAAACTTTATGCTAATAAGTTTGAGAACTTGACAGAAATGGACCTTTTCCTAGCAAATATTGACATGCCAAAACTAAA